TATTATTCGTCAGTGCTTCGCGGTTAGTGGACTTGTACAGCCAGTGGAAGTTGGAAATATTCTCAGCTTCAGTTTACTTTCTCTCTTATAAAGTATCACATAAATAAGAAACTTTAGTACTACATTCCTAGACGTCTTTGTGACTAGAGAAGAGGACGGCACAATGTGAAGAAATGCTTATAGTAAACCTAAATCAGCTGGTCAGTACACTCATTTTTCCGGCTTCGTACTCTTGAAATACAAACGCAGTCTATAATAAAGTGTTTAGTCCACAGAGCGACAGTAGTCTGTTTCGATGAATTTCTTAATACTGTCAAACAGCTGTTGGATGAGAACAGTTCCCGTAGAAATCCATCGTCAAGATTATGAATCTAAAGCCAAAGTACCAGAAGTTCTCAAAAAGACCTTGTTCTCACAACTTCAATTCTTCTATGATAACACCAGTGAAATAATAACAAACGCCTTTAGGAATGAGGAAAATGAGCATTCACTGTGGCCAAAGTTCTCTGTCTCTTCAAAACCACCCCTATTTTACTTTCAAAAGTTAAAGACAAACTACTTAATTTTGCCTCTTTTATATGTATGTATCAGTTTGACCGCTCCTGTGGATACATTTACACAGAGTGTACAATTATGCGTATTTATAGTCCGATTTCCTACCATCATCCTGCATACTTGTTAAGCAGAAGACGAACAACGTTCATTCATGCTTCTATTCTATCTCATCTCATGGATGCCTAAGACGAGACTGGTGTGAACAAGGCTTTCAAAGTTATCCAACGTATACGGACTAATCTTAATTTTGCCTCAAGAGTATATCTAATACTATTGGGATGAATAAGGTTTGGATGATCAGTGATGTTCATTTATTTTGAATAGACACAGAATTTGGTGGTCAGCCTATCGTCGGAAAATTTATCACTGACAGGCAGACAGACTGGAAATCCTGGTAAATCTGATGTAATTTTGTATCACCATGTATCCCTTTAACTCACTTTTTAGGTTCACGGGATATATTTCGTAGATAGTATTTCCCAACTCATGACTATTTAGCTATTAAGAACCAACATCAGCAGAGTAAGATTTCTAAGAATAATCCACGGATTGTAGACGGAATTTTGAGTGTTATGGTATAGCTCCTACTTATATGAGTCTCTGTGTTTGTGTGTTTGTTTGGGTGTCTTCTGATGACTTTGATAAGGGCACAGAAGCTTTGTAATTCAAAGCCAGTCACAGGTGTAGCATAATAAGGTAATACATCAAACATGTAATTTGATTCATTGCTCAGTTTAAAATCACAAAATTGCTTGTTAAATGTCATTAATTAATTTAACATGCTTTATTGATTTATTGATTTGAACTGATGACTTCAATTTATTCATGGTAGAGGCAGTTTTAAGTAGTAAACAAAGAAGCTTAGAAACGTCTGTCAATAAATAAGTGTTTATGGCAAGCAGCGTACATATGCAGGGCCTCCATACCGCCCAGAGACTAGGGGTGAGTGCCATAGAAGGCCTTTCTGACAAGCTGAAAACTTTCGTTAGCAGCTGTCTTCAATCGAAACTGAAGATGAGATGGCTAGAATACATTATGAACACAGAACTAAAGCAGTGAACCAGTTGAGTACTTAAAGCTCAACAAATGAGCAGAAGAAAATGGATAAAAGCGTTAACTGACATCACGCGCCACACCCTTGAGTTGAAGGAAGGAAAATGGCATAGGATGAGTTACACGGGTGACATCGAGAAGATCGTGTGAGGAGGGAATGAAAGCTTACGGGCAGTAGTGGAGTCAGCTCAAATGAACTACAGAGAAATAACGATGTCCTACTAGAAACCCAAGGCTATTATATATATATATATATATATATATATATATATATATATATATATATATATATATATACCCTCAGCTACGAAATTTGGACAAATAACTTAGAGAACAGAGTTCGGACACTATAAGGGAAGCAATGACAGACACAACACACGGAGCAGGATAACACAAATACATTTTATTTCGTCTTCATCTCTTACCAACTACTCAAAAACCTTGGAAACTTAGCTCTTCTAAGTCGCATAACCCTGGATGGAATCATAGACGTACAGAATACAGAACTCTGCCAGACGGAACAAGCTGGATTCAGGAAAGGCAAATCAAGTGCTGATCAAATTGCAACTGTACGCATTGTCATCGAACAAAGCAAAGAATAGCAGTTAAACCTCTACGTCAGATTCATCTACTTCGTAAAGGACTTCGAAATTGTTGACTCATAAGTGATTTTGAGACTGCTGCAATACTATGGTGTGCAGTGCACAAATCTTTATCAACCTCATTCAACAGCTGTCTATATGACAATGCCAAGTGTCAGGTGATCCATAACAGGGAACTCAGCGAGGCATTTGAAGTGAATCCAGGAGTAAGACAAGGCTTTCAGCCTATTATCAACGGTGATAATCATAATTGTGGTGGACTGGATTATGCGTCAGACTGTGGGGAGCGAGGAGTCAAGAATACACTGGACCACCGATAAGAAGACTCTAGAAGATCTGAATTTCTCCTGTGGATGATATATGTCTAATATCACACAAACTCGAAGACTTTCAGAGGAAAGCCAACAAACTGCCTGGAGAAGCAGTCAAGGAAGACAGGACTACAGGTGAACATAGAGAAGAAGGAGGTGATGAAGATAAACAACCAGCACCAATCACTATCAACGAGAGAGATTTAGAAGATATCGTCTCCTTCACTTATCTAGGAAGCATTGTTTCAACCAGAGGCAGTCGGAACGGATGAAAATATCGAAACCAGCCAGAATTGGAAAGGCGAGATACACCTTCATCAACCTGCAACCAGTTTGGAAATCTTCTGCTTCACTCAACATAAGGAACAAGATTCGCATTTTCAACACCAATGTGGAGTCGGTCCTTCTATACGGGTCAGAAACTTGGCCAGAGTGTCACGAAAAGGATTTCCAACAATCAGTTGCAGACTTTTATCAACAGCTGCCTTCTCTGGCTGCATACTGAAGATCAAATGGCCAGAAAGAATATGCAACAAGAAACTCTGGTAACAAACCAGCCAAGAGCCAACTGCTCGAAAAATATGACATCGCGAGCAACGCAGGCCAAGACTCGAGTAGAATCCGAATGGAAATCGACGAGTGCCGGAGATTGTGTGTTGGGGAGGAGGAGATGACAGATTATGGTCAATGGTTGACCCAGCTGAAGAGGACAGCAGAAAATAGAAGAAAGTGGAGATGTGTTGTTGAAGCCCTATGTCCCACTAGGAACCTGAGGAAATAATAATAATAATGGTTAACCCAATTTTATAATTTATACACTACAAACAGTATTGTTGCTACTCTTCCCTCCACTTTTTATTTTTGAGAATCTTCAATTGTATTACATATATGATTACTGGAATTTCATTTAACCTTTTGAACTTGACATTTCAATTCATTTATATACTGTGAGCTTTCTTAATTATTGGTCGACATTTATTTCTCCGATGGGTTTACTTGGATCGTAGTGAATTATAAAGTGTAAACATTTTGGTCAGTTATTGATTTGAATGGATTCAGAGCTCTTGCCGGTCTCTGGCAGAAAATGTGACTTAATAGTCATATCTAATGATTAAGTTTCAAAGCTAAATGTAAAGATTTGCAAAATTTTATGATTTTATGCTCGTATATATGGCCCACCATATCAGACACGCTTTGTTTACACTCGTATGTTAGTCGCACTAGCTCATACTTGGTTATTTAGAGGTATCCTATATCGTCACCGTGTTACTCCTATGAAATGAAACACATTAACATTGTGATAAAACTATTAACTTTCAATATTATTCAGCTTTCAGGATCGATTGCCCAACAAATATGATTGAAGGAAATGGAGACGGTTTGAACATACGCTGATTAGACCAGTGAGTGACATCACACTCTAGGTCGTAGAGTGAAATGTGAGCAGGAAACAACTAGTTGGACGTGAGTTCAAAGGTGATATGGAGGAGATCATTTGAGCAGGGAACCAAAGATTATGGACAGTTATGAAACCAGATAAGGCGGACTTAAGAGAACAGGGTGAAATGGAGGTGTGCTGGTGGAACCATATACTCCACTAGAAACTCAAGGGAATAATAATTGGACGGAGGATTTCATCATGAGCTGACATCGGTTAAAGAACCACTGGAAAACCAACTGAGAGTACTGGACAGCTGTTTCGTCAGACCAGTTTGAGAGTCTTTATCAGTACGCACTCACCGCCAGCGTTCCAACCCAGGACCTTCTGGTTACAAGGCGGTGAGCTCATAGACCATTCAACAGTCAATAGGACCCGATCCAATGGCCAGTCCATGAGTTCTAACTTCTGTTAATTCACGACATAGCGCGACCACTTCTCAATATCTTCTTCGATAAGTAACTATCCTCACCTTCAACTTGCTACATCCTGCTGACGTCAGCTCATGATGAAATCCTCCATGCAATCAAACAAAATCCCTAAAAAACCAATACTTGAAATAATAATTATTATTATCCAGGTTGTGGTCACTTGACACGAAACCAATCAGCGAAATGATGTGAGTCCCTTGTTTTTAACCCGGATCTGTGCCTGTTGTTATCATTACTTGGTTCAAATTCATTAAAGAAAGTTTGTGTATGAAATTTCAAATTTTCATCGGTCACCCTCGAAATACGATTTCACAAAAGTATAGAATTTTAGACTTTGAACTGATCGTTTGGCATATATGAAATCTCTGAAGTATCAGTAGGGAGGAAGGGCTACGCTTTAAAGTTTGAAACAGTTTTAGAGCCACTTTAAAGGCCTATTCGTTAAAGGCGATAAAAAGTTGGTCTTCCTGTTTCACTAGGGTAATACACAGATGTAGACGTCATTCAGTTTGTAGATAGTGCTTAAGTAAGGTAAACATTCCAAGTGAAATGAAAATAAAATCTAATGATATTTGACAATCAAAATTTACTGTTTAACTGTCTATCTTACCCAGTTTGAAGCGGGAAAAATGGTGGCATTGCAGGGTTAGCTGGAAGGGAGAAAGAAAAACAAATCAGTGACAATGTTCGCAAAAAAGTTATAAACACTTTCGCATCTTATTCATGAATAGTAGTAATAATAATGAATAATAATAATGATTACTGTTATTCCTCTTGATAATGACTACCAATGCAATCTAACATGCGCATTTCGTCCTATTTAGCACTCGTCCTCTGGATGTACCAACAATCTACCCAGTAAGTAAATGATGGTGTTTCCAAATCCGAATGATGAGTTATGGGTAGGACGAAATGCACTACCTAGATTCTACTACTACTCAATATCAAGCAAAATAACATTACTTTATTTCTCAGATATCATGGACGTGTCCATATTAGGAGTCATCATGTCAACAAAGGGCAAGCAATTTGATCTGTAAGAATTAATCAGTGGGTATTATAAATTAGACAGTTATGGTGATTATTAAGGATAATGCATTAAGCATGATGGGAAGAATACGCTTACACCATGAAAGGTGTTCACAGCCCTTTATACTGCAAAGGACGAAAAGTGAGATGAGGAAGTTTGTATGTTAGTGAAAGTGCCTACTGAACTAATCAGTTAGTCAAAGATATGTGTTCAATTCAGTAGTCTTAGCGGATCTAATTAACTCTTTTGCCATTGAGTTTATATGTCTGCTGAACTCTTCTTGATCGAAAACATTTTCCACAATTATTTCTAGTAACTGTTCTGAATAGAAGTACTCGACTGCTGTCAATATGTTTTATAAATGAAATTTTTGATAGCGGTTCGTGTTCTGTAGAGCAAATTTATTGGATACTAGAAGTATATTTCCTCAGAGAAGTCAACACACTTCTTCATCTGAAGTGTTGCTTCCTGTGTCCTTTTAAAACAGCCGAACGTGTGTGACCAATTCTCTAGATAACAGGACATGTCTGACAACTTATCACCATCCGAATGAGAAGCTTTCGAGTTCATCGTGAGGAAACCATACTGATATTTAAAACAGTTTGTGTGAGAAAATATTGGTGTATCTAACCACAGCTACCACTGACTACCCAACCAGAAGGCAATAAACTTTTCAGCTAAGCTGTGTCTTGATATTTTTTAAATAATTTTGAAGAGCCAAGATATAGAATATATTTATTTTCGTGTATGGTGACTAGCATTGGGACCCAGGATGCGCACTTCGTCCTATATGGAACTCTTCATCTAGACAAGCTTGAATTCTCAGTGAGTGATGGCGTTAACTCTGAGATGTGAAGGCTGCATCTGTCGTTCAAACGCCAAAGACAGATGGGCCACTTGAGCCACCACTTGTGCAATCCACCCAATAATAACACATCAGTCCTCAAACATCGTCGACGCGTCAGTATTAGGAGCCGACATAATGGCAGATACAGAACATTTCGGACATATATAATCGGTCAGCAGAAAACAGAAAATTAAGTCAAACAACTTTAGACTACAGTGTCGGCGGTATAAATTAGTAGAAACCACGCATAGGATATTTTGCGTATAAGTCTCATACTACTGTTGCTTAAGAAAGTAGTTAAATAATAAATCCGAAAATCACGTTTTTATCATCCAACAGAACAATGAACATAATGAAACGAGTGGTTTGTAAACTTGTTTCCTGCCAAAATAACAAGTCACTTCCATGCAGTAAAGCATACGATTCCTTCATCTGTAAAACTGATATATATATTTCATCAAATTTGGTGGGTACCGTTAATGAGATTTAGGAGGAATTAATTTACAGCAGGGTGACAGATACCCCTTGTAAATGCTATCAGAATAGATTGGAATATAGAGAGTGGGGAAAGCGAATCCAGTTAACAGTTGTAAGAAGAGTGGTGTGAAAGTGTTGAGAGAGACTTAAAACGGAGGAACTATATTTAGTGAATAGAAGAGACAAGAAGCACCCAATAATAGACCAATTTTTATGTATGTGTGCATATAATTGTTATTTATGCTTTAAGCATTTAACAGTAAATATTATTCACAAAGTTAACAATGTAAGGCGACAGGAATGGAAACACAAACACACACAGAGAAGAGGTGAACTAACCCAAAAACACTAGTGGTGTGTGTTACTTTTCTACAAGGCCTGTATACACTCATATATCTAACTACCGTACATATAAGTCGAAAAGAAATATGTATGTAATTAATGGTAGTAGTAACACTACTTAACGGGAAATCTCACAAATAACGAAATACACTGCGCTTCCCATTCACCTGTATCTTAATTCATATTTCCAATGCTTACCATACTTACACATCTGTACCACTATGTTGACAGATTGTGTAGCACTGAAAATAGAGGAAAACTGAATGTATGTTTTGTTCTTAACAGGACTCATCAATAGTTTATTTGGTATAACATAGACTGATAGATTTAACTGAGTAAGTGTTTGGAAAACCCCTCCTGAACGATCTCCCTGCTTATTTAGACATTCCAACTAACTTGGTTATCATTACTATTTTTTCTCCTTGACTGTATATCATTGTTTTGACGTTTCCACATTATTTGTCAACTCAGTCCTTATTACTTGTCTTCGTTCTCCGTCAACCCTTAATTTTAATGCTTCTCTTTGAGGTTTTGTGATGATATTGTTGTGCTGGTTTACAACCGTGATTTTGTTTGATTGAGTTAAGGTGATTCTGACCTTCAGCTGTCTGCTGGAATTGTAGTATATGATTCTTATGGACAGAGTTTTGATCCCACCTTATTGTGCATATTCCATCTAATTCTGAGGTAGTTCTTATGGTCTAATTTTGATTAAATAATTTTGCTCTACATTACTTGTTTTGTATTTAAGAATGTTCCGAATCCGCATAGCTGCCTGACGGCAGCGTAACTCAACGTATTGTGTGCTTACATGCAAGTTAATACATGGCAACGATCGAACTTTTATTCACGAACAGTCGTCGTAGATTAAGACTGAAATACCTGCGTTCCAGTAATCTAATTGATCTGTACATTTAACTACATAATCAATACATAGAATTTATTTAATGATATTACTTCTCGTAATTGAATTTATTGAATTCTTAAACCGACAAATCCTGCATAAAGCTAATTATAAAGTTGTCTAAGTACGTAGGAATATGATTATGAACAATAAATTGTGCTCCCCAATATCATCCAGTTATTAATACTGCATTACTCAATGTGTTCTCCATGGAATAAATTTATCCATCGTGCAATTATGTTCTATGACAATGATCAAATACCACTTTTACGTTAAGTGTATGGCTTCTTGCTAGAAAATCAAGCAATTCATGAACTAGAATATACACTGATGAACAGCTGGTTGAAAACAAGTTGTTACATCTGTGGGTAATTAAGAAGTCCCTCTATTTATGGTATGGTTAACCATGTCAACTCAAATGTTAGACGTTCTGACTAATAATTCGGAAACCGCCGGCTTCGCATTCTGAAACTGGAAGAAAACAGAAACCACGTACCAAGTTTCCTTATTTTGCGCTATCTCAGAAAATTTTAGGCTATAACAGATTGAAGCGATTGTAAATGCAGTGTAAATCTGGACGGAATAACAAATCGATAACTCTGTATAACCATATTTCTGGCTAAGTTTCAATGTGTTTTCATGAAATTGAAAATCACTTACGTAAATCAATACTATATAGAAGTGACCTAAATACCTGACTTCCGTTTCGCTCATCAGAGGTGCATCCGGTTACATACAGCTCAGTCAACTGAATCACTTCAAGCCAACAGATTTCTAATAAGAATTTCTGTATAAACCATTCTCCTTTATTATATTGATAGCATCAAAGGACTGAGTGCTTTTCCAGTGGAGGGTAGTAATAAGGTTAATAACAGATGTAGGTTTAGAGTGATTTGACTGGTTTCAGGTAATCATGGTATGACATATCACTTAGGGAACCCACCAAATCAAGAAGTAGTGCACAGCTGTTTCATTCTAGTCTGGTACTCTCCAGCATTACTCACTCATGATCCCAGCATGAATGAAACCCAGGTACTGCAGGAGAACTCAGTAACTACCACTTAGGTTTTCAATAAGGCTATTTATGTAAGTATAAGTGTCTGTAAAATTACGGTTCGTGGATCCCAAAGCAGAGGTTTGATTTATTTCATGGTAGATTTCGTCACCGACCTATGTCAACTAGGGATTACATCGCATAATGACAGAGCTTAGAGTGCACAGGTTATTGGATTCCAGCACATTGATTGACTTGTCAACAGGTCCTGTATTCGATGGCTTGTTGAGTCGTGGTCGCCCACTCCTGAAGAACCCTACACTAGGACGAAGTAACTGACCAGTAAGCTTCCTGGTTTTTAATGGCTGTCTAACTGATGTTGATTCAGATAATAAATTTTAGGTGAGAAAATAACTGTCGATAAAAGAGAATTTACCGAATTCACAGATAAACGAAGAGCTTATGACCTGGTTATTTTATACATATATTGTGACAGATAACTGATATCAATGCGTTGATTGACCTTTTATTAAGACACGCAAACGTAAATGAACACGGTAACAAAAATATAATTATAAAATTCAAGATGATATTAACTACCTTTGAAGTGTGAACATACTACTCAGCTGTTTTATGATTAAAAATTTCAACAAAAAAACAATGTTGGCACACTCTAAGTTGTCATGGTAAGAATGACCAGAAGCATAATAAAGAGTAATAGTAACAATAATGATAAAAATAATAATAATACTAATAGATATTGCAGTTATGTGTAATGATAAGGGTAAGATTTCACAAATCAAGACCTCCAGGTGCTTGATTTAAATATTAAACTGCCTTGCGATGAGTATTCTCCTAGCTAAAGGACTACAGCTCAGAAACGTCCGACGAAATGCAATTAATACCAAGTAATTAAACATGAATGGAAATGGCAACCAGCCTGCGAAAACTAATCAAAATCCTGCACCCCGCTAAAAGAACATCAGTGATTTAATTTCAGTCTGCTGCCCTGATCATAATCATTTAGTTAACGGATTGCCTGGAGGTCTAATTCAA